ATGGGGATTGGTCTAAATTCCCTATAGTACGGGGTCCTATATTTGGGTTCCCATTATAATACGGGGCCCTATATAAATTTCCCCCATTTTGGGAACAGTAATTTAGGGAAACTACCATATGTGCTATTGTCTGAACTCCTGAAAGGGGGTTATATGAGGCATTACATAGGGACTCCCAAGGGGTTATTAGGTGGGATACTAGGAGCTTGGGCTATAGCTCATATAGGAGTAGGTAATCATGAGGTACGTATTTGGAAAATGTTCTTGGGAGGCATCCGCAAGATTCAAAACAACATCATGAGCTTGCAAGCAGGTAAGTCATCAGAACTTAGGGTCTTCCGCCTGAAGATCTCTGCATGGTCGTTCGAAGTGGGAAGGCAGCAGGCTTATCCAGTTAAAAGTTGTGGTGTTTTTTGGGAGCAAGGGCCAGTGGCTTCAGAGAAGCAGCTTCAGCCACCTCATGTGTTTAGATGTCAGGTCATGTTATGGGATGTAGAAATCCTAGGCTTGGTTGGCATGAGTTTCCAGTGATTCTGCTGGCTGACACCCGTTCGGAAAGTCCTGGTTTAAAAGGTCATGTTATGGGTTTTCGGACGTCCCATCACGCAGCGTTCTTTTTATTGTTGCCATTCTAGATGCGTCAGGGCATGTGTGAACATTTGTGCATCTTGGACCCATTTATTTGACACGCACCTGTCAGGACTTCAGAACAGCTCATGGCTATACCTCAGCCACCTGGGCATTAGCATTGCCCAGTTGGACTGCACGAAAGACGCTGCTGATGTTGCCAAACAGCTCGAGCGTGTCCCGACCTGATCAAGCACTTGTGAGATATTGTCAAGGCCGGGTACAAGAGTTTGTGTTATGGTGTGATGTTAACACGAGTGATGCCCAGAGCCTCAGATTTGTCGCAGCACATTTAGCTAACGCCAGCATTGTGGTGATGCGGGCGTTCAAGGTAGTTGTAGTCATATGATGATTCAGTATAGTGAAGACATAATTGAGCCTTGTGAGTCTTAAAATGGGAGCTTGAAACATCGCATGTACCCAGATCTAGGAACCCTAAAGAAGGACAGAGGTGCGACTTTTCTGTCCCCAACCCCCAACCCCCCAACCCACACTTTGGAACTCCAAAGAGGAACATCAAAAGGGGTAAGTTGACCAAACCTAGGGCATCTTGCTGGGCTTGCATGGGGGATGGCTTGGGCCCGTACATCGGGTAGCAATGTATCATAGGGATGCCGTAGTCTCCAAAGGGAGTCAGATTATATACTTCTCCTGTGCTGAGGCATTGTATGATTCATGCCTTATGGAAAAACAATCTGAGTTGCAACTGTGGACAAGCAGCCCTAACCCCTTAACCTTCAATACTCCTCCCAAACGCTCGGGCTCAAAGAACCCTACTTGTTAGCTTCAATGGGATCCAGAAGGGTTGCTCTCAAAATTATGGGCCCCTTTTGGTTAGGGATTATACTACAGCATCTAATACCTAGGGGCACCAAATGGGACACTAATTTTGGGCACTACCCAATCAGGTTTGGGGAGGTAATTGCAAAATGGATTTTAAAGGACTTGGGAATTCTTCTCGGAAGAAACTACCCTCTATTGCGTTCTGCAAACTTCCCATTAACAAAACCACTCAAGTGTCCTGGGGATCCGTGTTGCAACTGCCAACAAGAATCACTCAGGTGAGCATGCCGGTGACCTGGAGTTTGTGGAAATCGATAAGCGGAACCTGTTCAAGCTGCAAACCTCGCAGATCCTTGGATGATCTCTGGGGATGTGAACTATTGCCGTGATTGTCATCATTTATCATTTTCTTTTGTTGTGTTCGGGTCTTGTTAATGAACCTGGCCAGCACGAGAGAAGTCTGCCTCAAATCGGTACTGCTTTCCAAGGGTGCGGCCCGCCCGGAGAACCGTGAAGCGGCTTCCTTGTCGTGTTGTGCTCCCATTGGCCCATGGACGCCGAAAAGTCCTGAGTTTCTTCAAAATTTCAGTGAGTGCCAAGGATAGTGGATCCAGACTGGTCTCGGCAGTGGGGCTTTCGCCGGACTGGTTTCGAAGCTGCCTGGAACCGGCTGGAGTCCATGCACCTGAGATTTCGGTAGGATATTGAAATTCTGAAGAGCAGCATTCGGATTTTGAAGACCGGCTAAAAGAGGTTGAAGATCGACAAGAGTAGTAAGTGAGGCATTTGGTGCAGCACAGCGGTAAACAGAGGCTCTGAGTTTTGCGTGTACATACCTACTTGCAGCTCCATCTTGCAGACAATCTGCTTTCAGCAATACGGTGCTTCCACCAGCGCAACGGTAGTAAGATCCTGTTCTCTTGCAGTACTGTGGCTCCACCTTTTGAATCCTGTATCCCAGATTCCTGGCATGACTCTCCCACGAGCCGAGGCAAGTGGATCCAGCGCCGGTGACGGTGGCTGTGTTGGATACAGGGATCCAGCTCGACCACGAGGATCATCTGCTGGCATTTTGGGGCTTCTGGGGTCTTCTGCAGCTGTTTGCACGCTGCCATGGCTCTACAAGGTAGCCCTTACTAGGCCTGTGTTCGTTTCTGGCACGTGCGAAGCTGAACCGCACACGTTTGCTTGAGTTGTTCTGGGCTTCAGATAGCTTGGCTTATCATTGATGTGACGCCACTCGGGCACTACAAGCAGCCAGACCTGAGCTTTGTCAGAGGTCTTGCGTATCACTCCCTGGAGGACTTGCAGGGGCGGCTGTGGCAGAACCAGGGGGAAATCCCCAACAACGGAATAGATGACGACGGAAATGGGCTTGTGGATGATGTGCATGGCTACGACTTTGCAGATGGGGACGGGGACCCGTCAGATGACGATGGGCACGGAACGCATTGTGCAGGAGGGGTCTTCAAGAAACTTCAAAGTATGGATAAATAGATGTATGAATCATGAATATATGTGTTTATATACAGATATGTATAGAGGGGTTGGAGCTGGGGCTGCTTCTTTGATGGCGCAGGCATGCACACGCCGGCATAAACGAACCCCTGTGGGCAAGCCGTGCTCGGAAAAGAAGAGTTCCCCATGCAGCCACGCTCCCAAACATTCTGACAAAGATCTTCCCTAAATATCCAAAGGACACCGCTTCGGGAATGTTAAATGGAACGTGCCCCAAGTAATTATTACACAGCCCTGTTGCAGGAGTCATTGCTGCTGTGCGGAACTCTGTGGGCGTGGTCGGGGCTGCCGGGGGCAACCCTGCAACTGGGATGCTTTTAGACGGGCTTCTGAGTACCGGGGCTCTCATTTTGTTTTCTTGCTTCGCATCCACGTGGAAACAGCGAAAGCAGTTTCGCACCATGTTCTTGCAGTCCTTGAGCAAGAGTGGCCCAGGAAATCCGCATCATGGCGCTTCGGTGGCTCGGCTCTTTAGCCCTTTCTCGTCTTCTGAACATGCCTGACTCTCCCGCGACTCTGCCATTCAGTCATTGAATTGTCAAGCTGCACTTTTTCGGTCCTAGTTGTCTCCAACTTTTCCAAGAGGCCTCTTTCTGAAGGCATCTTCACGAATTCGACGCACAAGCTTCCACGGACAACACATTGGAGCCACCAGCTGGCCACCTTCTTCAATGACCGTCCGTGTTTCATCATATGCCAAACGAGTACTTATTGAAATTAATTACCCATATGTAGTCCTCAAGATAGGCAGCCGCAATCCCGACCAATTTCTGGCTTGAAGAGGCGGGATCAAGAGAGTCTGAATCAATCCTTTGATAGTCTGTGGGCGTACTATGAATGTTAACACAGGTCACATTCCCAGTCGCTTCACCTCACTGGCCTCTCCCTCTAGAATTGTCTTAAATCCCTAAAATGCAGGCGATTACAGGAAAAAGAAGGCCACGGGTGAGCTTGCCTTAGATGCGTTGTTGTGGCCTGAACGGCCGCAGTCGTCATGAACAAAGAAAAGGAATTATTCACACTTTTTGCAAACGCTTGACACATTCTCCGTTTCCTAGTATTGGCTACATGGTTCTGTACAAGACAGTGGGGGACAAACATCAGGGGGGTGCAGGAGTTTGACATTGGAGGGAGGAGGCTACTTGTCCTATGCAAGCTTTTGGTCCCACCCATCGGGTAGCTTTTGGAAACCAAGCGATTCAGAAGGTATTACCTAAACTACGGGGATTCCTTGCCCAAGACCATCCCCCAAGAACAAGGATTCATGCCTTCAAGCCACTCCCATTTCAGGGCCGGCCTAAGAGTCGACAGGAAAGTGTGAGATCCAAGCGCTTATTGGGCTTGGGGGTCATTCCTCGGAGACCTTAAATCCTCAGACCCCAAAGCCTAATTAAAGCATGAATCCTAAACCCTTCATCCAGTTCTCTGAGGTTCCTGAGCAGTGATGGTGGTCGCACTAGCGATGCAGTACTAGCATTGAATCTCGCTGTCCCAGTTCTACATGGCCATTGGGGAGGTTTTTGGTTTAGGGTTTTAGTTTTCATGTTTCTCAAAACTGGCGGCCTGCTATGCATCTCAGGCATATATGAGAGGGACCATGGGGGTCCTTAGGGATTCCAGAGAGACGTTTCTCATATTGCACTATCTGTTCATACGCCTATGTAGTACACAGACGGTGACGCCCGCCCCAGCAAAATGGCTTCCTGAAGATCAACTCCCGAACTTGATGGGAAGGTGGCAAGTTTCCGAAGCTACAACCTAAGAAAAAATCCGTATGACTTTCAGAGCAGGCGCATGGGAACAACAAGGGGCTTGCTGGGACGTTCCGAGCTTTTCAAGTCCGCAAGGGTTTTGACTGCAGGGAACTGGTTCTGTCGTGTCCGGGAAATCTCAAAGCCCAAGACGTAACTTGCACGAAGTTGGTGATTTCAGCATTACCAAAGGAGCTACCGTTGATGGAGAAAATCTTGCACCTCCTAGGGCCCCTGAACGACGGTCAATCCGCCAATTTTGGGTTACATGCAGTGGCGCAGGTTTTCCTGCATTTAGTCAAGATAAGAAGAGAAGAGCGCCGTTTTGCCCCGAAATTCGCGTGGAAACTGTTCCGTTGTAGGCTTCTAGGCAAGCAGCTGCCCCATTGCTTCTTGGTCCTCCTCAAGCCGGCTCAACGGTCTGAAAAGATCTGGAACAGAAGTTTCTTCCACATGCCAGAAGCAGAGGAATTACGCCATCTCCAACGGCGCGATGATCTCCTCCAACAGCTGGGGCAGGGGAGCTGGGAAAGAAAACCCTTGGGGCTGACTTCTTGTGATTCAGGAGTATATGTGTATACAAGCAGGAGTTGTATAGAAGCACTATGGAGATTTTTGGTGGACGTTCTGAGTCTTGTTGGTTTCTTTTCAGCTCTCTTCCTTGGATCCTTACAAAATGATTGCCAGCCAGGATGTTCATCCAGCTGCCAGTGCTCTAAGAGGATTCCAGGAACTGCTAATGTACTCGCCGCAAGCTCTGACGCTTGTGACACCCAAACTGTCACACCAGTTAGGTCACGGTAGCGACGTTTATGTGAAATGCCCAAGCCTTTGTCAGGAATGTCATTGGCCCTTGCCCCCTAATGCAGCAAGTTGTAGGCGGTGCTTCCCACAGCATCGCACTGCAGTCCGCGGTGCAGAGTGCAAAGGACACGCTGGGGGACGGGCTTGGGGTTCCGCAGCCTTCATGGCAATTCGCTGGCTTTCAGCTTATGAGGGTTGAGAGCTTTCGGAAGTTAGGGTCGGAATTCTGGTGTGTTTGAGGAAGCTCTGGGTGCAGGGCTTCAACTCTGGAAGCACAAGCGTTCTGACAAGAGTTCATTGCAGATGTAGGTGGTACGGCTTGTCAATCGTTGTCCGTTAGGTATGCGTCGTAATGGCAGTTCCGGATAAACGAAGAATGAAAAGATATTTTTTGTTCTCATCTTCCGTGAAAGGGCACAGGGGTTCTGGAAGTGACTGTTGTGTGGGTTTTCCCACAGCTGCGCGTGGAGGAGTCGGGACACCTGTTCGTGGCTGCAGCGGGAAATCTGGGCAGAAGCATTTGGGCGAGAAATTGCGGAGCACCCCCCGCAGATCCAACTCTCCTCGTGTTTGGTAGAGTTCAACCACCCGCGTCATGTTGAGGTAATGATCTCATCCCGACATACCCTTGCAACTACGAGCCTGCTCTTTGCGTTGCCGCGACGACTTCTACAGATCAGTTGGCCGACTACAGCAACTATGGCGTGGGCTCAGTACAAATAGCGGCCCCAGGACGGAAGCTCAAAAAAGGTTTCAAACATGAGGTCTCAGATGCCTAGGTCTGTGACCTACATGTTGTATCATGTTGTGGAGGGCAGGCAGTTCTTGCTCAGGGTTGCTGTGACACATGTATAAGAGGAACGGGCATCTTCAGCACTCACCTCGGATCTCGCAGCTACATGACTCTCAGCGGCACGTCCATGGCTACGCCTCTGGTTGCGGGAGCCACAGCGCTCGTGTGGAGTTGGATGGGCGGAAGTTTCGTGAACGATTTGGACGATCTGGAGGCTATAGTTCTGGAGTCTGCAGAGCCTGGCCTTCTGTTAATAGAGCACGGCCTCATAGATTATGAGACAACAGAAAGCTGTTATGATCAGGAACAGAACTGAGAGGACTGCAGTTTCTGACTGCGCTACACAGAGGCTTCTCCATTGTTTGAGCTTTCCCCAAAGAAAAGTTATTGAGGAGCGCATGGCTAACCTGATGCATTACCCTAAGGGCTCAATTCAACTGCCCCACTGAGTCCAGAACCAAGCAGGGAGACGGGCAACAGGTGTATAGCTCCTAATTAGCAGGTCCACTCGTAGCACTCGGTAGTAGGTTCCTTGGAAAACTTTTTGTGGGTGAAAGCTCTGAACCCAGGAGCGGGCGCCATGGCTGGACGGTTTCGTGTCCACAGGGCTTCTGAACGTGGGAGCCATGATCTCCAAGGCAGAATCCAGGAATTGGATTCGACTGCAGGAGCCTCTGGGTGGGTGGAGGGATCCCACGGGGACCTCTGCCAGGGTCACTGTGCCTGCAGGTGGCGAAGTAGCTCTTGGAGTGGAGATTGGCCATGAGTTCTTGGGAGTTGGAGTTTACAACGCGGAGATCAACATTGATTGGGGCCAAGGCACAAAAGACTGCGAAGAGTCCGTGCCTGTTCAATTTGACACTTGCGCTAGAAAGCTTTCAGAGATTCTACTCTTTTCTTGACGTATGTTGCGGCAGAGTATCCATGCCATCACCTTTTTGAAATCGCTAGCCGACTGAGGAGATTCTGGGGACTCCATACCTGCCGGAAACGATCTTTGCCGGAACGCTGCACTTTGGCATAGTCCCTGTAGGAGGTGAGGGACGTCGTACGGCCCCTTGGACTTTGCGCAGCAACCATTTGTATGAATACGACTCCCAGTCATGTTCACATTGCCTCTTGCTCTCGATGCGGCTTCCAATGTGCGATTGACCAGCTGGCATCTGGTTTTTTCATCACCAGCAGCAGCAGCAGCAGCACCACCACCAGCACCATGAGTCAACCAGCACACGACCGCCGCCGCTACTACCAGGACCACCAGCATCAGCATCAACGTGCCGCCACTGCCACGGCCACCGCCATACCATCATTCCCAGTATTTCGTTTGTATCCTTGTAGCAACATCATCCGGGCTGTTGGGGCGCGAGCGGGTTGACACTGTGCGGTTGAAAAGCCGGCTGCAAAGCCGCCATGCCCAACCAAACGTTCTGCAAAAGGGATATTACCCCCCCCAGTACCCAAATGATAGGGGGTTATATAGGCATAATGGGAAAGATAGTGCAAACTACTATGTTGCTATCTTGTTCTTCCCTGCGCCAGGCCGTCTAGGTAATCATCAGTGGACGGCATTTCTGGCAAAAGGTTACCTTATTGTTGGTTGATGTACATCAACCTGGCGGGTTCTGTTGCGAAGATGGGCCAAATGGTAGAGACATTGTGATTGTTTCGCGCGGAGGTGAGACTCTGGAACTTTGGCAATGGTACCGCTCGTGCTCTGGTGCTGCCTCTGGATGCCCCATTCGCTGGGCCTGGTGTAGAGGCACCATGCTATGGGTTCTACATACTCCGTCGCCTTGTGGCAAAAGCAATCGGCATCGTCCCGCCCCAGTTAGTCTTGCAGTGCGTGTGCGGCTCAATCGCCTCAGGTAAGGGAAGAGATGCAGAGAATCTCGTCAAAGCACAACTCAGATTCTGTACCAAGTTTTTTTGTGTGCAGGTGTCAGTGGAGCCACACCAGCCTTCTGACGTTGTCATCACCTGCCGCCCACGCAGCACCGGCATCTACACGGGCACAGTGGCTTGGCTTGGGGAGGAGCGCAGTACGTACATCTACAGCTTACAAACGGGCGGGCTACCGCTGCTTCTACCACCAACGATACCTTGGAGAGGACAGTAAACGGGGCTCATCGGGATTATGATGGATTATGCAAGGGGAACACGGCTTGTGATATGACAGGTACTTACTTGTATGAGGTCTGCTAAGAGCAGCTACGAGCCGGAAACTTCGTTGTCAGGGCTTGCTATGCCCCGAGCTGCTTTGGAGTGACAGGTTGGTGTTGCGTTTTTGGCACCGCCAATCCTACTGTGTATTTCTCAACATGAGACCTGCCCGCCCCAAGTCTGGAATGCACAACTCGTGTGGTCCGCATGGAGGAACCCCAAACAGGATCCGCAACTTGGGCCAAGTCTCATTTGGACCGGCATCCAAGGTGCAGTTCCAAACAAATTCTGGCCTGTCCGCGCAGCTTACCTGCAGTCTTGAGCCGGCTGGTTTTGCAGCTGAAATTTGGGACAAAGCACAATTTTTTCGGCGGTGACAAAGCTAGATACAGCAAGGGCCTGCAGAGTTTCTGCTTGTCTGGTGCCCCACTCCACAGTAGCCCCAAAAGACGTGCCGGTGAAACTCCCCACTCCATTCAGCTAGAAATGTTGATCTTGCCATTATTAAGTCGGCATTTCTTTAGAGTGCTAAGCTATGCGTGATTAGTAGACGCAAATGGACGAAACCTTGGCATTGAGGTCGGCCACTTTCAGCTTGAGTGCATAGGGTCGCCTGCACTTGTGCCGTTAGCTTTTTGCCATGCTGTTTGAGCCTGCCCGCAGAGAGCACGTTTAAGCGATCCTGGCCTCTACACCGCTTGCAAGCCCTCCGAGCCCCGTAGCCCTGAGACCATCCCAACACTCTGAACGCCAAAGTCTGGGGTCTGATAAGCTTGGCAGGAGGGAAAACAAGCCTGAGAGCTTTCAGGTTGGACGCCGTGGATCCAGATGCACTCAACAACGGCGACGCATTCACAATGCCGCTACTTGGCGCTGAAAGGGCGGTGCACGCCTCGCCTGAAATGGCAGAGCATCCGCTTGGCCCCTCAGATCTATACCTCCAACAATGCCTAAGTGGCAAAACCCTCAAACTTTGAGGCTCCACTGCGAAGGCAGCCAGGCCCCCCACATGGAGCTGGATGCCTTCAGTGGAGTCATGCTGCTGAGCTCCTTTGCTGTTGTCAGAGGATCTGAAGTTAGGTTCGTTAAGAAGGGACGTGCAGCAGCGGATAGCAGACCATGTGAGAGTGCTGGCAAGAGCAAAAGTATGCCATCTTGTACGGTTAGTTTGCTCTGGATCACTTGGGGCCCCCGCCCCGGGGGAACAGCCGATTTTTGTGGAGAGGTGCCACCGGAGTAACTTAGGGTCCCTTCCTGGGGATGCTGTGCAAATTCGGAGCCTGTCAGGAATGAGATGTCAATTCTTTGCATGCTTCACTTGGTCCAGACAGCCTGGCTGTTTTGAGGATTTTGTTGCGTAGAATGCCGGCGCGTGTGCTACTCAGAACCAAATCAAATGTGCTTGAGTAGCATTGTAAGCGGCAATGCCTTTTCCCGCCTTGGCGCCTACAAGATCAATTTAGCAGAGCACATGTTACTCGCCTCCCTCCCCTCTAGTGTGAGACAGTTGAGAATGTAGTGGGACTGTTGTGCAAAGGGAAGGGGGGTTGTCAAGATTCTGAGTTTTTCTTGAGCTTGACCCAAGATATGATGTTTAGGGGGACTCCCAGACCCTACGCCCTGAACCCCATACCCGAAACCCTAGACAATACGTCTCAGGACCTGGCGAACTTCCTTTTCACGTCTCCCCGAGCGTGCCTGCGGAATGGGAGTCTAAGGTGCTGGATCCCCAGGCGCGAAACACCCTTTGATGTTCTTCAGTTCGGTCTTCCTGTGGAGGTTTTATTACGGTTCGGATGATTCTTTTGTATGGGCAGAGGCACGTTCTAGCTGCGTCGTATCAGTGTTCCAAAGCTGCCAGGCTGCTCCGGTAGAGGCTTTGTCATTTGCTGAACTTATCCGAAGCCTGAAGCTCATTCTAGTTTGCAAGCTGCGCAGCTGCAGGCGCCAGAATGCAATGTGACCGCGGTCTTGGCGGCTACCTCCACCTCCAACGAGCAAGGTTCTCTTCTTGCACTTGGGCGGGTAGTGCAGTACTGCAGACGCGGCTGCAGACCGTGAATGCCTTCTATGTCTTATTGTCCGTAACATCAAAATCTTAGAGAGTACTTGGAGTGTAGCAAGACCCTCTAGTGAGCGCGCGCCAAAGTAGACTCCGTGCCGCTCCTCCTGACTTGCTACAACTTGAGGTGTTAAGACATTCGTGCTTCCCTGCTATTCAGTTGCTCTTGCCATCGGGCGCATGTTGGAGGCTTTTATACACGACAGCCATGCTGATGGTTGGGGCCCGCATGTTATCTCTTGAATCGTACTCAGGCGCTGGTTGTTCAACAAGGCTTCTCAAGAATGGGCATGCAACTGTTCCTGCTCATGCTCCTCACCACAGCAGCTGCTTCTGTTGCCGCCGCTGCTACTGCTGCTATCGCTATGAAGAGCTACTTGTGCTTATCTGCTGCGCACCAGCTAGAATTATGCCAAGGCGACCGCGTGATCAACATACATGTCAAACGCGCAGCAACTCCTCAACCTCTTCTATCCAAAGCTTAGACAAGCCTAGACTCGATACTCCCAAATCCCTTAATGGTATCAAGCACCCAAAACTCAGGCTGCAACCCGCATGGGTCCTCCGTAGCCGGGAAGATCGTGGTGGTCAGCCGAGGGGGCTGCACTTTCCAAACAAAGGCAGAGATGATCGAGGCCCTCTGGTGCAAGCTGCTGCCACCATAGTGTGCTACAATATCAGCACGGGATAAGGTTTCATTATGGTACTGGAGTGTGATAGCAGTTCTGCTTGGAGGTGGAGTTGTATGGTTAGGGTAGTTGGAAGCCTGGTTATCAGGAACCGTTTGTCTTGCTGTACGTACAGAACCTCCTCGGAGAAGATCTAACTACAGGTTGCTCATGAAAACTCCAGGTGGTAAGGTGGCGAAGAGAGGCGAGAAAGCCCACAAAATCGATGGCGTGACTGGTTTCTATGCAATTTGGACATGTTCATCTCGATTTGCAATCTACACGAAGTACCGCAAGCCCAGACTGTTTTTGGATTTTGGCCCAGAGCTATGATTGGCTATGAGAATCAGGGAATTCTGTGGAATGCACCCACAGCTAGCGGCATGCCTTGCATCATGCAGCTACCTATTTGCAGCTGAACGCAGGATGCAGGAGGTGTCGGAGCTCTTTTCTACGACACAGAGCCCCGGCGTCCATGGAGACAGGTAGCAAGTCGACCGTCCGAGGAAGCTGCATGCCGTATTCACAAACAACAGCTTAACCCGAACATTCAAGCTGCCGTCTCAGGAATCCGTCACGACTCTCCGCATGATGGGTGTTGCAGATGGTGCTGCGAATCCCTCGCTGCCTGCATTTATGGTCTCGCGTGCTCAAGGCAAGGCGGGTGTTGCTTGTAGGTGTCCTTTAGCATTTGGAGAGTGCGGAAGGTGAAGGTCAAGGACTCTGTTGGACTGGATCCCGGCCTTTATGTCTTATACCTGGTGGTCAGCACACGCAGTCTTCAGAGCTTCGGAGACCGTAGTCAGGTCAATGGTATTCAACAATGGACTGTATGATGTCGACTTCAAGCCTCCGCGAGCAAAAAAAAAGCATCCAGCGACCGCAGGGAAGCGTCGTATTCAATACAGAATCCAGTTAAATATGTCAAAGGGGCTTCCCATCTTCACATGGCGGCCAGTTTCTGGCTGGCCAAGCGTTGTGACCAATGAACATGGGCTAATTGTCTCCGGAATGTAGGCGTTCGAATCTTTATCACATTTTTGTTTCCCGTAGCAACTTTGCAAGCTTCGTGACTTACATGCTGATCTGTGCAGTAGTAGTCTATGCAGTAAGCCCTTGGTTGCTGTGGTAGCCACTGATATCTCTCGCCTGCCTGAACCAAACCTGGGAGGCCTTTCTTTGCGCGATCGTGCGAGGTCAGCGGCTTACGAAAAGGCATTTCATCCCCCGAAATGCCCTAAGATAACCCCTATATATTGTGGTAGTTTCCATTTTCTTTTCCATTATCCCAATATAACCCCAATATTCTTTCCTGCTCTCCCACAGGGTACGAAAGTTGCCTGCATTGAGTCTACCCTGTTGCTGGCCTCTTGTTTTGCCATTCCTCAGCTTTGAAAATTGTCCGAAATGGAAACTACTATAATATACAGGGGTTCTATTAGGGTATGTATTGGGGTTATATTGGAATAATGGAAAAGAAAATGGAAACTACTATAGTATACAGGGGTTCTATTAGGGTATGTACTGGGGTTATATTGGAATAATGGAAAAGAAAATGGAAACTACTATAGTATACAGGGGTTCTATTAGGGTATGTATTGGGGTTATATTGGAATAATGGAAAAGAAAATGGAAACTACTATAATCTGCCATTGCACCAAAGATGCCCTAATGGCAAGGTCTGGTGAGGAGCTACTCGTAGCGCTGATCCGGTCACTTGGCCGGAACCATCGCAAAAGAGCAGCAATAAATACTCACTACTCCCAATATCTCCCAATATATTCCCACTAGAAATATGGAGGGCAATAGTTGTACACATCCTGAACCCTAAACCCTAAACCCAAACCCTTAACAGGATCGTGGAGTGGACAGCCTGCCATCACTGAGCCATTTGAGTTTCAGATGCCGAGCCCAGGGTGCTTTGTAGGGAATGCACCCCTTAGCAGCCATCCGTGTAGTCCATTCCCCAATTACCTGAATCCCCCCTAAACCCAAACCCTTAATCCGCTTCTACCCCTCAATACAGCCCTTCATTCCCAAACCCTTTCGAAGCATAGACTTTCAGGCGGCCTGTGGTACTCCACACGCACCTGCCCGACTCCGGCTCACCCAGAGCGGCGGCAAGCTTAGGCTCGGCTAGCCTATGAGGGCCTTCAGTTTTGGGATTTACCTGGCTCAGTATAAACAAGCCGTCAGCTTCAAAGTTGCAGTCGGTGGGTTTATATAGGGTTTACGATTTAGGGTTTAAGGTTAGGGTTCAGGGAACATGGGATTTTCCAGAAAAGGGAACCCAGTGATGAAGGCCTGGAATAGACACAACTGTCATATAACCCATAGTCTAAACTCCTAGTATCCCCCTGAATCACTCACAAAAAGTAGTAGTCCCCTATAGAATCCCTTAGATAACCCCCTTTAAGGAGTTTAGACTATAGCTCATATGCACTTGTTTAAGAGAACGAGCCAATGCCTTTCGACAATTTCTCTGGGGAAACGGGAGTTTTGGGGCGTACAAGGGTTGCTTGGTCGTGTTGTTTTGCGGGGCCCTCACAATCAAGTAAGATAATGGGGATATGGGAGCACATCAAGCACAGAGTTAGCAAGGATTGTAAAAGCGGGCCTTGGGATTTGACAACCTTGCCCCGCAGACCCCGCACACGGAGTTCCTGAGACTGCTCCACACTGGGAAAGGGCTCCCCATACATCCTTTGCCCTTGATTGGAAATGTTTCGCCAGGGATCCAAAACTTGGGCGGTGGGCCGTTGCACTGGCGGACGGAGATCAATATGCTGACCCTGGGATGCACCATGGGTTTCATCATCATGAAGATTCCAACTTCAGGCCTTGTTTACAATTTGGTGGGTTTAGGTGCACACTTGCCAGCCCACTAGGTGGTCAGGAGGTTGGGCGTGAGAGTTGCATGGCGAGAGTATGAGCAGAGCGGTCTTGATGCCAACGAGTGCAAGTTTCCATTTGGGCCATGCCCACGGTGTTTGGCTGGCAGACATGCGCGTGCCAGGAACTTTGATGAGCATGGCTTCTACTCCGCAGTCTACAGTGGAGCAACGAACAACAGCGGAGGCTGCGGTGCTCAGGGAGGGATTGCAGATGCTTTGATGCTACTTGTTACCCTGCAAAGCTTTCAAAAACTTGGACCAGCAACAGCCAATCCCAGATCAAATGCCAGGGACTGACATCGCCCCGCTCCCGCCAGCGCCAGCCTCCGCATGGACGTCCAATGCAGTGCTACAGGAAGTGTCAAGTTTTCGCAACAAGGACCTTACTTTGGGTCCTAGCTCAGATGTGGGACGGGAAAGCATAGGCCGCAGGTTTGCAAGCAAGGAGGCTATGGCAAGACAGATTCAGGAGGGCCGAGCCGTGAACAGTTCGGATGTGCTTCTCCCCGTGTCGCCAAAAGCAAGTCGCAGCATGAGTTGAGCACGTGGGTGCTCATGAGGACGTGGATGACAACGCCGCATCTGCGACCCTGCCTTTCATGACTTCCTTCTATGGCGAAATTGCTCAGGACAGCTTTTTGCTGCTTAACTGCCTTTGCAGAATGTTGAAGTTTGAGCCGTTTGAGCCCAGATGGATTCTTCATGTGCCCTTTTCGCTTGCAGGACGTGCAGCTTTCATCCAACGGCCTGATTGCCATATCACCAGACGCCAGCACCTTCGAGCCGGGCCGGGACTACTTTGGCTACCTCCCTTCCATCAACAAGCCCAATGGCATCGTGGCAGCCTTCTGGGACGACCTCTGGTGCAGGTCTTCCCGCGGCTGTCGGCTGCTCACAGGCCAGCGAACTGTGCAGCCAGTGGTTTTGCCGCAGTGCGGCACTGGCAACGCGTCCATCATACAGTTCTCGCATTTCGAGCACCGCTATGATGCCAGTGCGATAGCTTCCGTCGAGGCCCGCCTTTATGCAGATGGCTGTATCGAGCTGCAATACCAGCACTGGCCCTCGCGCAGCAAGCGGATGAATGCCAAGATGGGCATCGAGTCCAAGACGGGAGTTGGCGTGAACCATGCCGCAGTGTTTCCCTTCGACCTGGGGCGCCCCTTTGGCGTCATGCTCGTTCCGTTCTTCGCGTCGGACTCGGCCACGTGCCTTGGAGCCGAAACTAAGTCAACCGTCTTCGTGTCCTCTTGGTGAAGTACCCCCCGGTAGTAGCATGAGCTCATCATCCCCTTCAGTCCTGCCAGGAGCGGCATGGTGGAAAGCGGCAGCAGTTCCAGGCCATGGGTTAAATTAGACAAGAAACAGAAGAGTCTGGCAACCTAGGCTGTGCTGTAGTATTGAGTCAGACAGAAGCCTTAGCTGAATCTGGGTTATAGTTGTCAGCTTTACATGCCAGGTACGACTTCCACATGGAGGGCCACCGTTCGCAGCAAGGTGGAGCTGCCTTTGTCTTGTGGATAATGGGCTTCCAACTCATGTCAGATTTTGAAAGCTAAGCACGGAATCCAACAGTGGCAGAAAAGTGCACCCCAAATGAGGGCTTCCATTTCTAGACATTTTCATGGCTTGTCGTCGCCCGGGCATTCTGAAAGCATCTTGCAACATTTTGCATCCCATTCCTCAGAAAGGCTCTTGCTGTCTTGGTTGTGGTCCCTATGCGGCGAGCGAGGGAGTCAAATAATTAGCGCCAAAATCCTTATACGACTCCGACTGCTGTACGATTCCCCCACAATGTTCTGTTTCCGCTCCATACACGTGGAGTAGAGTTTTTACAGGTTGGTATCTCGATGGAGTCTTCGTTCAGAGTTTGAGGTGTCATGCCCGGTGATGCCAGTCTATAAGGGGGCCCCATACACAAACCACAAGTGAGATTGAAGCAGAGTCGGGTGAGGTTGGGTCACGGTCCGTGCGTGGGATGAAACCAATCACTGGAAGTCTGACCGCTGCCCGGCATCAAGGATTACGAGGGTTGCCCATAGGCTGCCTTCAAGGATGCTACACAGTTTAGGATTGAGGAATGCTCACGTCGAGTTCTATTTCTTTGCGAGTTGGGGGCCTTGAAGAAAGGTCTAGTTGTGAGGGGAGTGTGTAAGTAGGAAGTACTTTATGTATGTATGTATGTATGTATGTATGCATGTATGTAGGTAGGTAGGTAGGTAGGTGCGTGGGTGGGTGGGTGGATGGTAGGTAGGTAGGTAGGTAGGTAGGTAGGTAGGTATGTATGTCCGTACGTAGGTAGGTAGGTAGGTAGGTAGGTAGGTGTGTATATGTGTATGTATGCATGCATGTATGTCTGTGTATACAAATGGTAGGGCTTACATTTTGAGAGATGCACTTCTCGAAAAAGCACCAGGGACGTAATAGCAGCAATGGTAAGGATAGTCATATGAGTATCCTGACTTCTTGCAGAGCTGTCCGTGTTGTGAACGTAGGATTTGATTTGAATGGATGTGCCCAAGCTCAACGCTGCCAGTCCTGCATCAAGGTAGACTCGCGTCAAAACCTAGAACTGCCCAGGCAACACTGGATGCCCAACGAGCAGGAGCCCACAACATAGCCTCCCCAGCTCTAGCACTTACGCTTATTCAATGTAGAAGCTTGAGCTTCCCCACTCCATGCCCACCCCAAGTGTAATATGAATTGCTCAGCACCAGTTTCTGATTACAACTAGTCAGGCCCCCCAGAGATACGTTATCGGCTGCGCTTTGGTTGAGGTGTGGTGCGAGTGGTGCAGCGCGTCTTCAGCTACGGGTGGTATGAGGGGGTGGCTTGGCATCAACATTGCCACCGCAAGCAGCCATGTTACAATGTTCACATCAAATGGCAAGAGCCTCGCGATTTAGTGGAAGGCCATGACAAAGGGTTCACCTCTACTCGGCCTTTGCCTTGTGGCGCATGCGAAAACAGTTTACCTTTGGATTCCGAATGCAGGGCTTAGGCTTTAGGGTATGAGCCCACATGCGCTTGGGCAAGCATATTCAAATCTCAGCCATCTTTTCGATGCTCCTTGTACAACTACTTTACAACTCCACTTCGGCCGCTGCTACTAGCGCTACTACAGGGTTTGAGGAGTCTCCGATGTCACGAGGTACAAACAACTCCACGAGAACGTCGCAAAACCATCCCAACATCACTTAAAAACAGAGCCCTATCAAGGTAACATCATTTCTTACAAGCATTCGTTTTCAACATGAACTTTTCCAAACAAAGGGTCCCCTTGCAGCGTCTAAGCCCTTAGCCCGAATCTTAACACATCACGCCCCAAACCCCAAAACCTGACACTCCTGGGTTGCTGTTAAGGAATTGAACATTAAGTTGCCAGAATAGTGGGTATATCGTGTTTCCTTGTTATAGTAACTTGGTTCAAGTTCCTGAACAGCAACCCAGACTGCGCCTGCAGAGCGATGCGCGTGTTGAAGCCATCATTTGGTGCTTAAGGGAGAATGGACGAGGCAGATAGGTCCCAGAAAAAAGGTATGGCCCAATAGTCGATGCAGCAGTCGTTGTATGAATATCGCCCCAAAGAGGAACCAGAAGTCGGAGATATTTTGGACCATTATCCTTAAGTAACATAGTAGTACCCGGCACAGAGAGAGAGAGAGAGAGAGAGAGAGAAAGAGAGTAGTACCCATTTCGTTTTCCACTTGATTCCCCACTATACTGCTTTATCCACATCCCAATATTTTCGCATAATTAGCAGCTTCCGGGTCATGTTCCGCTTGATTTTCATTTCGCCCTCCATCATTGTTGGGGTAATATCCCCAAGCCTTAAATCCAAAATAGTAGCTTAGAGTTTCCATTTCCTTTTCCATTCCCGTATACTCTTTTATAGAACCCCATAATCACCACAATAACCCTCTACAATAACTTCATTGTCCTTAAACCTCAAACTCCTAAGCCCTAAATCCCTAAACACCCAAACCCTAAATCCCTAAACCCCAAACTACTCCTAAACCCCTCAACCCTAACCCCTAACCCCTAACCCCTAAACCCCTAACCCCTAAACCCCTAACCCCTCAACCCTAGCCCCTCCCGTAACCCCTACACCCCTAAACCCAAACCCCATATCCCCCCCAAAGAAAGTTTTGGAGATGTTTTCGACCGAGGCCTGGGAGCCTTGTCGGAGACCAAGCTGTGCGGCCTCCTCTACGGGGAGCCAGGACTTCGCCTGGGGCTTCACCGAATATGAGGGTTTTCCAAATTAAGGGGTACCCAAAAGGGGCGTTATAGGGGTTATTTAGGGCCTTTGTGCTTGTTAACTGTTAACCACCCAAAATGGAGGATCAAATGGAAAAGAGCATGGAAAATGACATGGAAACTGTGTTTTTCCATGGCGGTTTATAGGGATTGGGGTTTCCCAAAATCAGGGGTGACCTTAAAGGGGTTTTAAGGATTATTTAGGGCGTATAGAGGGTTTCCCAAACTTTTGGGGGGTCCCCGTAATGAGGACTATAGGTTGAGGACGATATATAGGTTCCCCCCTCATCTGGGAGACTACCATTTAGGGGGCGGAAGGCTGTACAGCTCTATACATACATACGTACGTACGTACATCCATACATGAATACATACATGCAGAGGGATATACGATATGAGAAGTCTAGGACTTGCAGGTTTCTACTCTTGAAAAATGCTCATGTAAGGATTTTTTGAAACAAGCGCGTTGCTTAATATTCAGACTGGCGTGTGTTGGTTATGCGGGTCCTGTGCGGGATCATGATTTAGTTTGTGGCGGAGCTGTAGGAATGTAAGAATTGTGAGGGAAGGGCATCATTAGTGCTTTTGGCAGCTTCACAAAATGTTGGGTCCATGGATGGTAGCGTTTATAATGACAATAGCCCCGCAAACCTGAAGACGGGAAGCTCCAGGACCTTTCTGGGTCTGGGTCGGTTGCAGATTGAAGTAGGAACATCGCAGCAAGTGAGACATGTACTAGAACCTATTTTGTCGCGAGAGGTTCATATCAAGTTGAGTCTGCCCTGATGTTTATAATCCCAACATCCCCAAGTACCCATTGCAGACATTGCAGGTTCGCCAGGTGGAGTGCCGTGGCTCAGACGGCAAGCGCTACCAGGGTCCGAAGCTTAGTGGCCTGAATTTTGTGGACTTTTCCTTTTCCTTGTAGGGAGGTCGGCAAAACAAGGTCTTCTTTTCTTCAGAGCAAGCCAGAAAATTGTGATGTTGAGATACTTCCAGATGTCTGGCTGGCGAGCGCAGTGGCCAGCTTCTAGTCCAAAACTGGATGATCCACAGAAGGAGGTCTTGGTCTTCATATGCGCTTTGGACCCCGCTGCCTCCGTGCTTGTTACTGGTCCACAGTCAAATTTCATTCTCGACTGACTCTCCAGCATTCCTGACTTAATCATGGGACTGCAGTCCTTCTATGGAGCTTCAAGAGGAGGGCTTCCCAACACCACCAGGACTTTGCCAAACCATGAGAGGTACTTGGAGGTTTGCGGTCTTAAGCTTGAAGCTTCAAAAAATCCAAGCAGAATCAACACAACCATGCCACTTTAGGTGACTCAGAATTGGTTGGAGTGCCTTAGCCCTTTCCTGTGCGCTAAGATGACCGCTGTGCCGGGCCGCCGAAATGCTCCTTGACTGTGAGGAGGAGTAGCTGCATCTTCAAAGGGAGACAGCGGAAGCAATCCTGAGCCCTAACTACCTGTCTGCTTGGGGGCCCTCCCTCACATATCATCTTGGCAGGAAGACCAGCGCAGCAACTCCACGTAAAGAAATGCAGCTACATGGTTTCCCCAGTCACATCAGTCTGCAGGCACTGACCACCCTGCGGGTTGGCTTGACAGCTGGGGTGACTCCTGCGCCGTCTACGCCAACAACCTGTACTGCACTGCCTCAGGTGAGGGCCTCAGTAGAGATAAAGTGCTGAGCCAAAGTGATAAAAGGATTCTAGCGTTTCACTGAGAGCTCGAATCCCATGGAAGTGTGATCCTGAGAACAGGTCTGCGGAGCCTTGGGTATCTCCAAAAATTAAGACAGCCTTAGAGAACTCCAACTATGCCCNNCCCCCCCCCCCCCCCCGCTGCTTGCCTGCAGGTCAGCCGGGCCCGGGCTGGCAGTGGTTTTGGGGCAACTTCAATGACTACAGGAACAACGGCCACACTGCCGACACAGCCTGCTGCGCCTGTGCCCGGGCTGCCACCCAGTATAGCTTTGAAAGCTGGGGTCAGGATTGTGCACGGAATTATGGAGTGTAAAGTGCATGTGACTTCCAGAATTCTTGAAGAACGACCTAGGTGGTGGTGGTATGCTTGCTGTGGCCACCCCAGACAGCTGGCAGACTTGTTCCAACCCTACAGAGGGGCCGGATGAGGATGGCGACGGTGTGGACGACTGCGCCCCTTCACCGACAATCGCTCCGCCCCTGCCACCAACTGAGACTTCAACTGCGACTACGACCAGAACAACGCTTGCTCCCACTACCACAATCAAGACCACCACTGCAACACATACGCACGTGAGCCAGACAACTACCACAGAAACCTCCGGGACGACAACCGCCACTTCTACGCTCCAGGCGGAGCCAGCCACCACCTGGCCTCAGGTAGGTGGAATCCTGCCAGTAACGCAAACCTCGACTTCCACTACTCTCAGCATAGCCCCGTCAACAACAGCAACGGCAAGTGCCACGCATACGCTGAATCCAGTGCAAACATCTACAACTGGGAGCAGCACCATCACTTCCCCAGCAGCTTCATCCACAACTGGGTCGCAGGCTTCTGTGACATACTCCACAACGTCCAGTAGCTCATCTAGCTTCATCTTGACAACTTCACAAACCGGCACGACACCAACCACTTCAAGAGCAGCAGCTACAACACCAACCACATCTGCAACTACGCAAACTGGCTCGACATCTGTGACAGCCTCCGCCACTCTGACCATGAGCTCTGCTAGCAGCACCAGCTCGAGCATGTCCAGTTTGACATCATCCGAAACGACAACAGGATCCACACAAACGGAGACTGCGACCTACACAGTCAGCACCACAAGTCTTTCCACCAGCAGGTCTTCAAGCAGTACCACGAAGACACTGACCTCGAGCCAAACCCACACAACATCCGCAACAGCCACAGTCTCAAGCACTTCCGTGTCTGTCTCTTCTACCACATCTGGAACAGCCTCCACAACCTCCACATCCTCCTGGACAAGCACAACACAGTCCAGTACAACTGTGTCCAGCACACTGACGGGCACAGAAACTTCCACGCTAACATCCACTGTCTCGGTATCTACGACTACAACGCTGACAGAGACTCAGACATCTAGCGCAACGGAGACCACCAGCACTACCAGAACATCAACCAAGACCTCGACTGCCTCCTCCACCACCAGCCGGACGGCAACCACCACCAGCTCCACTTCAACAGGGACATCAAGCACGTCAGGGACGATGACCACCTCGCAGTCAACCACATCATCCTCGCCGACAACTACAACTATCAGCACCAGCACAAGCGTCACAACAAGCATCAGCTCCACAACCTTGTCCACTACTGCATCTTCCACCAGCAGCTCATCCAGCAGCATCTCCTCAAGCAGCAGCATCTCGAGCACCTCCCCAACAACTTCCTCAACATCGAGCAGCCTGACGACCAGCAGGTCCTCGAGCAGCAGCACTACGACGGAAAGTAGCTCCAGCAGCTCAACCACAGAGAGCTCTTCGAGCACGTCCAGCAGCTCGAGTACCTCGAGCAGCTCTGCTACCAGCTCCAGCTCCAGTACCAGTAGCACCTCCACATCTTCAACCACCCAAACCACCACAGACACAAAGACAGCAACCCAGACGACGACTGAAACAAGTAGCACTACGACCACTACAGAAAGCACAAGCAGCAGCAGCACCTCCAGCAGCACCAGCACTAAGACTGCCACAAAGACCAGCACCTCCTCTTCTAGCGCTACATCTACCTCTTCATCCTCCAGCACCTCATCTAGCTCGTCTTCAACATCTGAGACGGCCACTGTGACTGTCACCACCACAGTCTCTTCCACCTCTTCCGAAACAGCCACAACCAGCACCTCCACATCCACGAAATCAAGCACAACGTCATGGACAGCTACCACTACATCAAGCTCTGTATCCACTTCTACCACGCAAACAACAAAGACCACAAGCTCCTCCACCCAGACTTCGACAAGCCGCACCTACACCAGCACTTCCAGCACCACCACTTCCACTACAAGCATCTCTTCCAGCTCTATAACTACCTCCCTGACCACTACGGCCACGAGCACGGAAACGACCTCCGCAACTTCTACAACAACGGTGTCCACAACGAGCACCTCCCAGACATCCACCTCCGTGACCTCCACAATTTCAACATCCCTGACTGCCACAAGCACCACAGTGACCTTAACAAGTTCCACGACGCTGAGCAGAGCCTCGGCCAGAAAAAACAGCATAAAGCAGTTCGTCTTGAGAGGCTAACAAAGTGCCATGTGCTGAAAGGTTGCTAAGCAGGGCCACGATCTTGAGAATGCCATGTGTTGAGGTACCACAGAGACGTCTACTGCGACCTATACCACGTCCGTGACATACACAACTACATCCTCGACAACGACGCTCACAGCGACCTCAACAAGCATCTCGCATTAGATGATGTTACAGCCCTGACTGTGGGAGAAATGCATGATGTCAAGACAGCTGGAGCAGACACTTAGTAGGCAGGCAAGCGTCTAGCCCTCGGCCTCAGCACCTAAGGTACCATAACTTCCACCGTGTCCTCTACCTCATCTGTCACCCATACGACCCATACCTCCACCAGCAGCACAGCCACGTCCATGACGACAACTTCGCACACTGCGACTACAACGTCCAGGACGCTCACCAGTACCACCGAAACCTCCACCTCGATCACCAGGACTAGCACGAGGACCGTGGCCAACATGAGTGGGGGCTTCTTCAGTGCAGCTGGTTGCTTCATTGATTATTGTTATTTTTACTGCGTGCAAGCTTGCAAAGTTCACCCCCTGGAAAGTACTCAATCCCCCAGTTTCTTACAGGAGAGACATAGAGAAACAAGGGCGAGACACAGAAATGCATGGACTTGTGTCACTTGTGAGAATTGGGAAGCATGCAATGTACAAAGTGTGCGCTCTGAAAGGAAGGCACTCTTCCAAGCAAATGTTAAGGGCATCAGGTGGAGTTCTGTTTCGCAAGAATGAAGACTGACCACCGGGGACGCAGGTGCAGCCTGGTAGACCCGAGAAGGAATAGGCGTTTTGCATGAAAGTTGGAAGAAGGCAACCAGAGCAGAGGTGCTACGTACTGCGCGCCGATACAAACAAGCAGTGGCTCCATAGCGAGCAAAACGACGACAAGGTTCTTGCTGTTAACACGACCATGGGCTCTTTAGAGAATTCGTCAAACACCAAATCCAGGGCAGTGCTGCGGCTATTGGGTCCCATGTGGCCAGGTGTCAGGAGGGTGGAGACTCTGGCGGAATGATGAGTCTTTTGATAGCTGGCTAGAGTGGGGAGGCCAATCTGACTGACCCCTGTTGTGCCTGAAAAGGCATCAATGCTGTAGCCAGTGGTTGTTATCAGCTGAGCGTTCAACTGGGCCTTACTGGGCAGCAGAGGTATTTCACAACCAGGTTGAGAGGTGGAGACGTTCATGTTAGGGGATGTTAGGGGCCGGGTGATTCTGGATTCGGTATTTCTGTGTTTGACTTAGCTATCCGGCCTCTGAAATTTTGAGCATCCGCAGCCCCGGACTTGCCCGACCTGGACATGTGCGGGCACCGAGCATTGCACCGGTGTGCATCCGCGGAGGGGCGCACAGCCTCCCGAAGAAGAAAGAAGAATGAGAGAAAGACAGAGAGCGCCGTCCATTAGGAAGCTACGCTAAGCAAACAGCGTGAGGTCAAACCTGTCTAAAACAGGGCCCGGTCAGGACCGTAGTTGCCGACGCGTTGCCTGGGTCATCCCAAGGGTCCTTCAACATTCCATGCGTGGACAGAGGGATGTGTCATCTGTGTCGACCACAAAGACGAGAAGCTGCGTGCCACACGCCTGTCTGCAACGTCGCAAAGCAACATTTCATGGCAGAGTTGAGCTTGCAAATGAGGTTGCTTGTGCTGCGTATTGCCTTTCCGAAGCTGAGGGGGTTGACAAGAAGAGCGTGCTTAGAGTTGCTCAGGGTGCATCATCACACCGCATTGTGGACAGCTGCATGGATGAAGCGAAAGTGGACGTTCTTGGGACATGTGTTGCGAAGACCTCGCGATGACATGACGCGGAAGTCCCTACTTACAGAGTTCAGACAAGCACGCCCGGGGAGGGCCATCACTTCAGCGAGGTGGGTGCTCACTTGTGTTCGAGAACTATATTCAACGGATATTGCAACGGAGTCCGCAGGAGAGAGAGGGTTGGGGTCTTGTTTTTGTTTTGTCGCGTGACCACACCCTGCTTGAATGGAATGAGGGAATGAGATGTGAAACGCCTGGCGTGTGCTACACACGGGCGAAGGGCCCCCGGCATAGCAGCTCCCTGGATGGAGGCTGCGAGAGCGACGGCGTGCGTTTCTTGTAGGAGAACGTTCTGGACTACCCAAAGGCTGAAAGCCTGCTTATATCGAGTACCGCAGTGTTTGCACGTGCCGCCAGGCTTGAGTGCCAGAGTGGCCAACATTGTTTTTTCACACTTTTCGTGCCAGAGGGAATGATGCCATCACACGCATTGGGGTGCCGGTTGGCAGAGGCTGCAAAGGTCACATGGACTAAGGATGCATGTCGTGTTTTTGCCCCATATGACCACCGAGGTATCCGGCTTTGGACGGACTTTTAGGATCTGCGGAGCAGTTCTGGACGAGCAGTCGGCTCATGCATGCAGTTTTAACACGTGCGTTCACTGAACTCCAACGGCTTAGAAGGCAAAAGAAGGATCACCCCAAGACTGGCTTTCGTTCGCCGGTGGCCAATGCCCAGATGCGAGAGCTAAACGAGAGAGGCAGACAGACTTGAGAGCGTGAAGAGTGAAAAGTTGAGCCACCCATCATTCCTGCCATCGACGGGACGCAACTGGTTAAGGAAACTCCATCAAACTCCCATGTGATTTTCAGCAGGAGCCAGCAGCTAAACCAAGACGGTCATGCAAGCATCTGCTGATACTTGACTACGGTGTAGGACCTTGACGTCAACGACGTTGACGACAACAACAGCCACGTCGACAAGCGTCACCAGCACAAGCCTGACCTCCACGACACGCACGCTGACGACGTCCACAGTGACCACCCAAACCATCACGAGGCTCAAAGGGGCTTCAACTCAAAGGGTGAAGGGTATAACATGGGGGGTTGTATGAGGATAATGGAAACAGAGACAGCCTGATCAGAAAGACGCCCCTGCCAGGAATGCCCCGCCTGTGATGATCATGAGCGATCCTGAGCCTGTGCAGACAGTCGCAACGACCCTGCTGGCAGCTTGGATGCATTCTATGCTGGAAAAGCAGCTGATTGCTTGCACATCCTCTCACACACATCTTAGTGTTATTCTAAGTCGCGGTGCGTGCTTCGTCGTGGCAAAAGGTGTGCGGTCAGGCATGTCGGGCCAGTAGGCCTCGTAGAAAAGCCGAGATAAAGTAAGGCATACAATTGCTACAGTAGCCTGAAGAACAGTAGCTACCCAGAAGGAATTACAATTCCGGACAAAGCTGGTTAGCCAAAGGTCGTGGGAGCGAACAGCACATCGCCTGACTTCGAATCCTCACTTGCGTCCTCGATCTCCACCATTCTGGGGGTGGACCCTCGGCGTGTCTTGGCTTTGGTGCGGCTTCCAAGCTGCTGGTGGTACTGAACTGGAAGCAGGAGGCATCAAAAGATGTTAGTTCATCGAAGTTCTCATGCCATGAAATGGAGAATCTGGCAGCAATCTCTGTTGCGGTCGTCCTCCCTGAAAGCGTGCGGCTGCTCTTTAGAGCTTCCTTAGTGCTTGGCTCACCGTACAGTACGGACTCTGATTGGCCAGAGGCCGCAGGGCAGGTCAGTTTCCAAGCTCCTAAAAAATATGCCAAGCAACAGTGTGCCCAGCGCGGCAAATCCTCTGAGGTGTCACGATCACAGGCCAGACTGGACCACTTGTTTGAGATGTTTGAGCTTTGCAGCAGCAATCCCTCCTATGGAGCTCATAGAATCCTAGGACTCATCCGCAAGGGCAGTGAGGGAGACAGTGTTGGGACGCCTCTTGCGATCTTCAGACGTTTTGTGACTCGAGAAGTTTCAGTAGAGCTGAGCCCCAAAAAGGGCTGGTACAGGTTCTACGTTGACCTGGGCTGCGGTTGTGGAGAATGGTGTCCCTGCAGACGCAGGCCTGCAGCTGCTTTGGCCATCACATTCTTAAGGGGTGCTGAGTGAGAGGGGGCTGTTGTTTCCCACCCTGCTCGTTCGCAGAATTCATGCCTCATGGTTGAATCTAGTTGGCGGCCTTGTTGCCCCCGTTTCCAACTGGGGGAGTAAGTGAGTTTGACATGATCAAACGGTCAAACTTGCACTTGTCAGGCAACCGGCGATTGGATGGGCGAGACCTCTCCGTCCTGGAGCGAGCGCTGGAGGTTTGGGAGCTACTGGCTTACGTCGGTTATAATAGGGAATGAAGGCATGGGAAAGAAAACGTTTATCAACTCTTGTATACGGAGTACAGGGCTCTGTTCCTCCATTCATTGCTGATTACCGGCAAGCTTAATTTTATGTGCATAGACATGGCAGTGCTTTAGTCGGAGTGCTGGTGGCGATGGTGCAGTCGAAGACTCATCCAGCAGGGAGGTGCGCTCTTAACCTTCTGAGAGTTTGGTGTGGGCAAGTAACAAACTAAAATATATAATCCCTATATATCCCCTATATAACCCATTGTAGTAGTTTCAATTTTCTTTTCCATTATCCCTATATAACCCCAATCATGAGGATCACGTGTTTCAGTGGTCTGCAAAACGCAGGTCGACTTCCAGGTGTCGATGCCAGCCGAGACTTCCGAAGTCTCTGCTGCCTCCGCGCAGGTTGCTTCTTGGGTACCGAGCTGTTAATGCTGGTAGGGTGCCTCAGTGGGGGAGATGTATCATCTTCTTATGATTGTTTAAGCGTGAGTGTTCTTGCACCATCTTCACGAGCCCGTTGCATCTACAGGTAGTTGTAGGCGTGCAGGCGAGGCAGGAAGTGTTTGGGCAGACTGAATACTGGTTTTTCTTTTCCTGGAACTTGTCCCTGTGCTTTTGCTTCGGGCTTTCGAAAGTTTGTGCCCGGCAGCTCAGAGTCCACATGCAAAAGGATCTTTCATCATGAGCCTCTGCGCAACCCCAGACAGAGAGAGTTCATAGCTCGGCCCTTTCATGCGCAGCTAACCTACACAATCCGCCAGCCTTTGCGGAAGCTGCTCCATGCGTATCTGTCG